CTGCTCCACACTCCGGAGCACTGGTGTGAAGGGTCGTCAGGTTAGAAGAATCAATCAAATGTAACATACACAGCCTGTGCGCCACACGTAACACACGTGTGCACAGACACGCCCACATCACACACACCCACATCACAGAGCGCACATCTGCGCATGCACACCCACACCACAGGGCACACAGGTGTGCCTGCGCCCCCTCACACCCCCGTCCCACGCGCACTGGGCCCCCCTGCACCTCCACGGCTCTCACGCGGGCCCCACCCAACTACCTGGCTTGTCGCCTTGGGCCCTGGGGATTAATTTCATTTTCCTGCGGTAATTGGCAGCTCGCCTCCCCGCGGGGCTGCTCCCAAGTTCCCTCTAATCAGGGGTGCCCGCGGCCCTGGAAGCCCAGCACAGGCACAGCCCCCCAGCGGGGACAGGCCCCGGAGCCCGGGCAGGCTCCCGGGAAGGCGGAGCACGGCCCCTCCCCCCCCAGTGTGGAATGAGGCCAGGGGGCTGCTATTTAGCGGCTGGGAGGCCCGGGCTGTTCCAGAAGGCTCCGCACCCTCCCTGCTGGATGCCCGGACCCTGGGGGCGTGAGGCTGAAGCCAGGGGCGCCAGGTGAGTCCTGACTCTAGCAAGACATGCCCTTCCTGCGGGGGGGGGGAGGGGGGGCGCCCAGCGGGGTCTGCTCTGGGGAAGCTTGTGGGCTGGACCAGAGCCTTTGAGGGAATGGTGGGGAGACCCCCGCCCCGCCCCGCCCGGTCACCTCCTGTGGTGTGCAAGGGAGGGACGGCCCACCCGCCACACGCCCCTGCAGATGCCCTGAACTCGGGAAGCGGAGACATAAAAAGTGTGAGGTGGTTTTGCCCCCAGATCCGTCTTTATTTCCAGAGGGGGCAAATGAGGAACGAGGCTCCGCGTCCTTCCTGCGCACTCACCGGGAGCTGCTCTCCGTTCCCGCTCGGGCTGGCTCCAGGGCCGGGGTCTCCGTGCAGTCCTGGCCGCGCGGCTCTGGCGGCGGGGCTGGCATAGACAGGGCCTGGCTTCAGGGCACCCAGCATGGACACAGGAGTCAGCAGAGCAGGGGCGAAGCTGCCAAGGGAGAGCTGCCCCCGGGGCCCCTCGGCGGGAACGTAAGCGCTTCCCCGGGGCACAGGGCCGCTCGGCCCTGGCTGCCGCCTGCCTGGCAGGGAGGGGTGAGGCTGCGGGCGGGTCCCTGGGGTGGAGGGGGGCAGGAGGGCAGCCTGTCGGCACAGGGGCACAGGAGGTGTGGCCAGGGTCATCCAGAGTGCCCAGCGGAGGCCGTGAAGGCGGCCCGGGGGCCCCGTGGAGAGAAGAGTGTGGGAGCCTCGGTGTTTCAGACCGGACGGCAGGGGGTGTTTCCAGGGGCCTTAGGAAGCTGCGCCCGGGGCACGGAGGCTGCGTGGGGCCCTCGCGGTGTGCGTCCTGTGGAAAGCCGGCTGTGTGGGGGCGTGGGACGCCGATGGCCGAGGCTCGGGCCAGGAGAAGAGGCTCTCACCCCATGGGCCTCAGGCCGGGCCTCACTCTCTTGAGAAAACCTCTCTGGTCTCAGATTAACCCATGAGCCCTGTCCTGTCCAGGCGGCATCTTGTGCTGTTCCTCTCTCAAATCTACCGAATTAAGTAGTTTTCTGGTCTTCAGTGACGGCTGGGCAAGCGACACAGGGACACCCAGAAGGCCCAGCCACGGAGTCTTTGGCACCGAGGCCCCGACACAGGGCCAGGCACATGGGGACAGGTAGGCAGACCCCAACATGGCCCTGTGGCCGCCACCAGCACGGACACTGGCCCAGGGCCAGCTCTGTGGGCCGAGGCGCCGCTCCCTGAGCTCCAGGCTGGCCTCATGGTCCTGGGCACACGCTGACTGTGCGCTGTCCACTCTGCCACCGGCCGTGTCCCTGTGCACGTCCAGGGTTCCAGCCAGTGACCCATCTCAGGGGACACAGCGGGACACGTGTCCCCGCAGCTCACACAATTACAGTTGGGGTCCAGGTTCTGGGGAGGGGCCGGTGGGGAGAGAAACTGACTGACTTCCGAGGGGGAGGACAGTGGGCCACGCCTGGGCGAGGGCTGGCCTCGCAGTAGAGCTGTGACTCGTGCGTATTCATTTTGTTCGGGATGTAAGGCCAGGCCCCGTCCCGTCTCCAGGCGCTGGACCACGCGCAATGAAAATGAAATATCCAGTCAAGAGCCGCCTTTTAAAAAAATCCTCTGGGAATTCAGATAATAACCCCCCACCCCCAGCTGAGAGCAGTGAAGTGGCCAAAGGGGGGTCCCGGGAGCGGGTCCCCTCCGACGGCACAGACCGGAGCATGACGTCAGCTGTCAGAGAAGAGAAATCAGCTTGGCGGGCCAGGAGGCCGCCTCCTCGAGCTGCCCGAGTCGCCCTCTCTGAGGAGGAAGGGGAGTGGGGAGCTGCTGGGGGCTGAGGACAAGGAGCGTTCCCGGCTGAGGAGCTGGGGACCCGGCCTGGCTCGGTGGCCACTCAGAGGGCCAGCTTGGGCTTTGAACTGGGGGCCTGCGTCCTCAGGCTTCAGGACCTTGTTGCTGCGCCCCAGCTGCAAACTTCTGTCTGCCGCGTCCCAAAAGCAGCTTCGGAGGAAAGGCTGGAGGTGTTTCTGCCCTGCTGTTTGGGGCCTTCACCGCCCACCCTGGCTTCACACCCAGGATGCTCCGGGCTGGTGCCTCCGCGGGGTCTGAGGGAAGAGGGGCAGGGGCCCGCATCTCTGTCTCGGGCCTGCTCTGCCCGGCCCCCTCCCCTCATCCTCCCCCGGCTCCCGCGACACCCTGGCCTGTCAGCTTCAGCTCGCAGAGCCTGCCGCCCGGGTCGTCTGCCCGCTCGGGGCCACCAAGGAACCGGGCTACATGGTTTTGATTGATCTGCGTGAGTCTGAACTATTTTCCTTACGCCGCCTGCTTGCTAATCTTAGTAACTTTCATTCAGTGATAACTCCGTAATCGCACTGGACACACACTCGCATCCGCTGTGGAGGTCACTGCGTTGAGCACTGGGGGTCCTGAACGTGTGCTTGTTAAACGTCGGTCCTCATGACATTTTCCGCTTTTGAGAAAGTTAGTTTTTCCATGAGTGACTGATTTTAGTCATTCGGGATGGCGGCTGATAGTTCAAATCCATTTAGGTATTTACACACTTTCATGAACTGAAATTCCATGGCGTCCGCTGCCGGATTAATTAAATATCTAAGATGACTTAATTTATTTTATCCAATGGCTTCATCCGCGAAACGCCTTTTGTCCAGGCGGCAGAGCCTCGCTCGGCTCTTTACACAACCAGGGCGTCGGGTTCTGACGGGGGTCCCTGGGGGTCAGGAGCTGGCCACATGTGCCCCAGGTCTTGAGGCCCATCTTCACGATTGACTCGGCACCTCGAGTCAGGAGGGCTCGTCCTGACCCACAGGCCGTTTGACGCCCCTGGCCTCAGAGCTGCCCGGTCTCCTCCTCAGTGGCAGGAGACTCGGCGCATGTGTCCTCAGAGGGCCCTTGGCCCTCCTCGCGCCTCCCACGGAGACCGGTCCTGGCGTCCTGGTGCTGCTGCGCCTGCGGCCAGTACATTCCGACGTTAGAGCTGGGCACCTCAATATTGGGGGCGGCTATTAAGTTTTGTGCTAAACACCTTCAGTGTCCTCACCACGTGATCTGATCTTTAAGCTGCAGAAGGGCGGGTGTGACCTGCTCGCGTGCAGAAGCCAACTTGCTTTCCTTTGGCTTTCATTGCATTTCCAGGTTGTGTCCAGGGCGGAGCTGAACGACAGCAGTGGACGCCCCGGAGCCCCAACTATAGCGGAGCCTCCAGTAGGTGTTTAGGGGTGGGAGTGGGCCCTGCCCTTGCCACACACAATGTCAACAAGCGCCTTGGGCGCAGCCCTCCTGACGAGACACGCCTGCCCGAGTCGCTCGCGGTGAGCTTGGGAAGGGCAGTGCTGGGGCTCTGTCCTGCTCGGCCCACGGCCAGATGGGTGGGCACTGCCAGGGTGCGGACTGGCTCCTGCCCTTCCCGAGGCCTTCACGCCCACCCTGTGGCCCCGTGTCTACTTGGAACTCAACCAAAGGGGCTCCTCCTTGGCTCTACTTCCCTGCCCGAGGTTCCAGGAGCGTGTCGGTGGCACCCTGTGGTGCTGGGCGGCAGGAGGTTCAGCTCCCCACAGCGCCCGTGTCCACTTACCTGTCTCCCTGCCTCTCCCTCACAGGTGTTTGCGCAGGCCCCAGGAGCTCCAGGCGGGGAAGGCCTCGGCAGCTGCACAGGAGCATCATGAGGTGAGCTGGCCACAGCCGTCCATTTCCCACACATGGACGTGTCTGGCCCCGGGAAGCTCCAGCAGACACCCTGCAGCTGCCCAGGGCCCACCAGGCATTCTAACTACCTCCAGATTGGCCCCAGCCTGTGGCGTCCTCTCCCCCTCAATTCTGGGACGATAGCGACTTGCCAGCAAGCACACCCGTGCTGAGAGATCAGGGCACGTCCAGGCCGTCAGCTCCCTGCAGAGCCGGCCATGGGGCTGGGCTACTCATCCCTTTGCTCGTGATGGGCCCATCGCAACCATGTGCACAGAAACCACCCTGTCCAAAGGGACACACTGAGAAAGAAAGAAAAGCTGAGGGGCCAGGCAGCCCCTTGGAGCGGACATGTCCATCCCCAGGGAGACGCCCCCGGTGTCTCCGCAGTGCTGTTTTTAAGTTGATCCAAGAAGACCCTGGGTAAGTCAGTATGTTAGGGACGGTCGGAGGAGGGGGCAGCAGGGAAGAAGAGGCCAAGAGAAGGTGACCGGGAGTAGACTCCTCACCGCCTGTCTCCCCAGCACCCCCTCATCAGCAAGCAAACCTACCAACCCAGGCCCCGGGGTAAAGGCAGGCTGGCCTGACCAGGACCTCCCATTTGCAGAGATGTCACCCCTTGACAGGGGCCGTGCGGACCAGGCCCAGCCGCTCTCCTCTTGCAGCTCCAGGCACCCAGCCCAGCCGAGTGGACCTTCAAGGATGGCGGAGACGTCCAACCACACCCGAGTGACCTGGTTCATCCTCAGGGGCTTTGTGGATGGCCCGGAGCTGAGGGTGGCGGCTGTCCTGTTCTTCTCCTTCGTCTACCTGTTCGGCCTCCTGGGGAACGTCTCCATCATGGTGGCAGTGACCAGGGACAGCCGCCTGCACACGCCCATGTATTTCTTCCTCAAGAACCTGTCCTTCCTGGACGCCTGCTGCACCTCGGTCACCGTGCCCAGGGCCGTGGTCAGCGGCATGGCCGGCTCTGAGGAGATCTCCTTCCCGGAGTGTGTGGCCCAGCTCTGCCTGTTCTTGGTGCTGGTGTCCACTGAGTGCTTCCTGCTCACGGCCATGGCCTATGACCGCTGCCTGGCCATCCAGAGGCCCCTGCTCTACGGGGCCACCATGAGCCAGAGGCTTTGCTCCAAGCTGGTCGTCACAGCCTGGGCGAGCGGGGCCGTGTACTCAGCCTTCCACACGGCCAACACCTTCTCCCTGCCCTTCTGCGGCCCCAACGTGGTGGAGCACTTCTTCTGCGACATCCCCGCGGTCATGAGGCTCGCCTGCGCCGACTTCCGCCTCCACGAGCTGGTGCACTTCACGGTCAGCAGCTGCGTCATGATGAGTGCCTTTGCGCTCACGGTCCTCTCCTACGTGGGCATCGTCTCCACCGTCGCCCGCATGACCTCGGTGGCTGGCCGGTGGAAGGCTTTCTCCACCTGCTCCTCCCACCTGACCACAGTCGTCCTGTTCTACGGGACGGGCAGCTCCGTGTACCTGCGGCCTGCCTCCCAGTACCGCCCGGCCCAGGCCCGCTTGGCGTCCGTCTTCTACTCCATCTGCACGCCCACGCTGAACCCCCTGATCTACTGTCTGAGGAACCGGGACATGAAGGTGGCCCTGCAGAGGCTGTACCGGCCCGGGCAGCGCTGAGCTGAGCGCGAGGCCGCGGCAGGCCCTGCAGGTCCGCCTCGGCCGTGAACGGGCAGCGCTGGCCTGGCGCCTCGACCTGCTCTTCCTCCCTCTGGTTTTCCTGCTGTCGACCTTGCCCGCGGCGGCGGCCGCCCCCTCGCTGGGAGCTGGGCCGAGTCTCTCTGGAACTGACTCGCAGCCAGTGTCTGCCGGCTCTCGCGACTTAGTACCACGCGTGGTTTTCTTTCACCCGTGTGACCTTGCTGCCGGGTGCCTCTGGAAGAATTCTCGTGTCCTGGCCTGAGCTCCCACCCAGGAGCGAGCCCTGCGCGGGGCCTTCTTCCGGTCCATCTACCATCCCCTTTAAGGTTCCAAAACCTTCCCTGTTCCCCCTCCAGCTGTGAGGTCCTCTTGCTGCTTCTCTTCACCCTCCTGCCACCTTCTGCTCAGTTCCCTCGGCCTAATTTTTTAAGTGACTCTCATTTCATCTGTGATCCATTTCATCTAGAGACCCCTGATCTCCAAATCCTGCTTTCGCCCCGTGGGTGCCATGAAGCCCTCGCCTGCCATGTGTACTTAGTTCTGGATTTTTGGCCTGAGCTCCGTGGTTCGCCAAGCTTATTTCTGGAAGGAAGAACTGTGCATTTAGACCTGCACTGGGTAGCCCTGGGGACCCTCCACCCCCACACATGGTGGCTGAGGGGTGTGGGTGACGGGGACGTGCGCCTCCTCCTGCTGGCGCCCACATCCTCCCGCTGACAGCTGCTGCCTGGTGCGCAGACTGGCTCCCGTCCTGCCTGCCTCCCTGAGGTCCTGGCACTGCTTCCTCCACGTTTTCTGTGCCTCTGACATTGGATGGATGCCCTTCTTTATAATCAGCGTCTTCTCAAGCTGAAGCTTTGTCAGTGTCTAATTTCATTCTTTGTGTTGTGACGTTTTGCCTTAGTCTCTCTCGTCTGGTATTCACGCAGCAGGCCTGGACTACCCCTGGTTAATACTCGCAGGACCACGCGTGTCCGCACACAGCACGTGGCCGGAGCCTCTTCAGGGCCCGCCAGCCTCTGGCTTCCAGCGCGTAGTTCAGCCACATAGAGACAGGCTGACGTTGCCATTTGTAACTGATGTCCCGCGGTGCTCTCGTGCCCTCGTTTCTCTCTCCGTGCTCAGGCGAGCACTGCAGCTTCTGCCCTCACCTGCTCCGTGTGAGACGCCACAGCCCGCGTCAGGACGGCCTGTCTTGGTGGCTGTCGCCGCACAGCGGCGTCGGAGCCGTCTGGCCCCGTCCCAGCGCGGCTCGGCGATGACCGCGGCAGAGGCCCCTGCAGGGCGGGTGCCCGTCCGCAGATGCCAGCTGGCCTCTTTCTCGTGGTGAGACTGGACGGGGGTATATTTGCTGGGTCGACCTTGCTGCCCCCACGGGCGGGTTAACGAGATGCCAGAAACTAGGGCTGCAGGCGGGACGCCCACCGCTGCGCACGCCCGTGGCTCGTTGCTCCGTTTGTCCTGTTTCGTTTTCTCAGTCCCAGCCCAGGCGCCCCGAGTCCGCTCTCCACCGCCCGCCCGGCCGGCGGCTCTGGGGAAGGAGGGGGGAAAGACGCAGAAGAGCCCCCGATGCCAAGCGCCGAGCGGGTCCCCCTGGGCCGCGGGCGCCGGGGCTGAGATGCTCCCTGGGCCGGGCGCCCGCACCGCCGCCGACGCCGGGCACCCGGGTGAGCGCGCCCCGGGCGTGGGCCAGTCCGCTCTCCTCGCTTCATGCAAGGCCTTTCCTCGCGGGCCCGGGCGCCAGCGCCTCGGCGGGGGCCTCACCCCGCGCTCCGCACAGACCGGCCGCGGCAGCTGCTCCGCAGAGCCCGCTCACACCGCGGGGCGCCGCCCGGCTGCGGAATCAGGCGGGAGCCGAGCTGACGGGTGCGAAAGGGTCCATCAGCCGCAGGACGGAAAAACGGCCAATCAGACTTGGGGGGCCCCGGGGGGGATACAGGCCGGGAGGGCGCGCGCCGGGGGACACCTGAACCCGCACACGCTGGGCCCGTGGGAGGCAGAAGCCGAGGCGAGCGCGTCTGCCGTCTCTTGGGGGCCCCGCTGGCGTGCGGGGCCAGAGCGTTCCTCCGAGCGCCCCGGGAGGAGCCCGAGACCAGCAGCCCCCCCTGCCCTGCTCACCGGCGCCCCCCGGGAACTGAAGAGGAGGCGGCCCCGCCCCAGAGCAGCTGCCTCACAAAGCCGGGCGCCCGTGGGTGCCTCGCCCAGGGGGAGCGGGTCCCGCCGCCGGGGCGGGGCACTGGGGAGCTCCGCGGCCTCAGGAGGGGCGCTGGCTGCCGGGGCCTGCGGGCGGTTCCCGGCCCCCTTCCCCTTCCTCCCGCCCCCGTCCCCTGGCCCGTCGGGTGGGCTCCCCCCGCCCCCAACCCCGCGTCTGGGCACAGCCGCGCCCGCCCTCGCGGCGTCCGACCCTGCGTCTCCGCGGGCGCCCCGCCTCCCGCGCCGCCGGCACCTGCCCCGCCGCGCCTGAAAGGGGCCCCAGCAACGAAACCCCCAAATCTGCACTTGCCCCCGGGCCCCAGCCCTGACGTCAGCGTGTCGCCCCCAGCCCCGACCCCCCTGGCGCGCCCGGCCCCGCGGCAGGAGCAGCAGAACCGGAGCCCGGGGCGGAGCCGTAGCGCCTCGGCCCGCCTGGCCCGCACCCCGGGGCGCCCGAGCCCGCGCAGCCGCCGCCCGCGCGCCGCGGCACAGGCGGGAGCCTGAGCCCCCGGCCCAGGCCGCCGGGCAGCCCCGCGCGCCAAGGCCCCGGCTCCGCAGCCGCCCCCCGCCCCCCAGGCAGCGGGGCCCCGCGGGCCCTGGCAGGGGCAGCGCCGAGGGACGGCCACTGCCCGGGGCCCCCACACCGCCAGGGGCCGCGGGCTCCAGGGCACCGGGGCGGCGTCGCGAGCGGGCAGCGAGGCGCTCCCTGGGGCGCCGGGGCGACCCCCCCACCCCGCGGAGGAACAGCGGCGGCCCCCAGGGGCCTGGACGGCCCGGCCCGGCCCCTCAGGAGCGGCGGCTCAGACGCCGGCGGCCCCGGCCGGGCCGCAGCGGCTCCCCGAGAGCCAGCCCGGGCCTGCGGGCGCCCCCAGGCAGCCCCCGAGCCGGCCCAGGCCACCGCCCGCTGCGCTCGGGCTCCTCCTCCGGCCGCCCCGCCCTCCAAGGGGCCGGGGGCCGGCCCTCCGGGGGCGGAGGTTGTCGTCTCCCCTCAGGGCCCCCAACGCCGGCTTTTATCCTCGCTCGATGCCCCGCCCACAAGTCTGATTGGGCCACTTTTTAACCCTGTGGCTGATTGGGCCGTTTACCCATCAGCCCATAGCACCTGATTGGCCCATCCCAGGAAGCGCACTTTACGTAAGGGCTGCCCTTTTTTGCCACGGCTGCCTTGTGGTGAGAGGCGGGGTCTGGTAACAAGGCGGGACCACGATTGGTCCATTTAGCACCAGTCAGCTGATAGCTTGCACCTGATTGGTTCCTGCCATGATCCAGGAAGTCCACTGTTACATAAAAGGGCTCCGAAGCGCCACTGCCACGAAGGGCTTCCGGCTCTGCTGCCGCCGGCTCCCCGCCAGGGCCCGGGCTCTGGGAACAGCCCCCGTTCCCGATGACGCGGGTCCTGGCCCGCCCTGCAGGGTCCCCAGGCTCCCCGCTCGCTCTCAGAGTCGTGAACACCGGGTCCTCGCTGCGCCGACCCCGACCCGGCACCGCCGCCCCGCGCTGACCGGGCTCCTCCCCGGGACCCTGCGCCCTCCCCCGGCAGCGCCGCCCGCCCCGCCCCGGCCCTGCGCGCCGGCTGTCCCGGGCTCCCTGCCGGCACCGGCCCTGCCCGTGCAGGCCCTGGAGGCGGCGCCGTCCCCCGTCAGCCCCCACCCCGTGGGCTCCCGCCGTGGGTGGCCGCAGGACGCAGCTCGGGTCATGACGGGCGCGACGGGTCATGACGGCGCGACGGGTCATGATGGGCAGGACGGGGCAGGACGGGTCATGACGGGCGGGGCGGGACGGGCTTGAAGCGGCCGAGCGCGGGGCGAGGCGGGGCTCCCAGCGGACGAGCGGGCGTGGGCCAGTCCTGGGGGCCGGCGGGCCCAGCGCGGGCTCCCGGGAACCGCCCGCCCGCCCGGGGGCGCAGCCCGGGCCGGTGGGGGGCGCAGGTGGTGGTCCGTTGGGGCGCGGAGGCGTCCTGCGCAGAGGCTGTCCTCCGGGCTGCGGGGCGCAGGGCGGGGCCGGGCTGGGGGCCCGGCGGGGGCGCGGCCAGCCCCGGGCAGCCCCAGACCCCCGCGGGACGCCCCTGCGCAGGCCGCGGCGGGAGAGGCGGCGAGAGCGGGGCGGCCCCCACAGGGCGGGGCGTGGGGACCCCAGGAAGGGCCGCGCCCGCGCTCACACCGGTCCTCCCGCGCCTGCCCCGGCTCTGGGCCCCAGCGCTGCACGCAGGTCCGTCCCCCGCCCCCCCCAGGGCGCCCCGCTCTGCGCGACCCGCGCCGCCTGGGGGCGCCCAGTGGGAGCCGTCGTGGGGCGCCGCCGACCCCACGCTGGGATGGGAGGGGCGTCGCGGGCGGGCGGCGGGGGGGGTGGGTGGGGGGGGTGGGGGGGGAGGGCTGGGGGGCGGCCCAGCCGCCGGGGGAGGGAAGCGGCCTTCGGGCTGCACCGCGGGCTGCGGGGACACTCGAGGGGCCCGCGCTCCCGCTGCCCCCCACAGAGCCGGCCCGTCCACCCCCGGCTTCCCGCAAAACCCATGTCCAGCCCCAAGGCGGGGGGCGGGGGGGGCGCGGTGGGTGGGGGGGCGCGGCCTGGGAGGCTCCGCAGCCGCCGCGCGGGTTCGGACCCGCCAGGGACCCGCCCGCCGCTGGGTGTCCAGTCCGCGCCTGTCCTGCTCCCCGCGCCGTCTCTGGGGGACTCGCCCCCGCACCTCTGGCTGCACCCCGGCTCGTGCAGCATAAATAAGTAGATGGATGTGTCCGCGCGGGGCGGGCGCGAGTCCTCCACGTCCACGCTCAGGACCCGACGCGCCC